TTGTTGTTGTTGTTTAGTCGTATCCGACTCTTCGTGACCCCATGGACCAGAGCACGCCAGGCACTTCTGTCTTCCACTGCCTCCCGCAGTTTGGTAAAACTTATGCTGGTAGCTTCGAGAACACTATCCAACCATCTCGTCCTCTGTCGTCCCCTTCTTCTTGTGCCCTCCATCTTTCCCAACATCAGGGTCTTTTCCAGGGAGTCTTCTCTTCTCATGAGGTGGCCAAAGTATTGGAGCCTCAGCTTCACGATCTGTCCTTCCAGGGAGCACTCAGGGCTGATTTCCTTAAGAATGGATAGGTTTGATCTTCTTGCAGTCCGTGGGACTCTCAAGAGTCTCCTCCAGCACCATAATTCAAAAGCATCAATTCTTCGGCGATCAGCCTTCTTTATGGTCCAGCTTTCACTTCCATACATCACAACCGGGAAAACCATAGCTTTTACTATATGGACCTTTGTTGGCAAGGTGATGTCTCTACTTTTTAAGAGCTGTCTAGGTTTGTCATTGCTTTTCTCCCAAGAAACAGGCGTCTTTTAATTTCGTGACTGCTGTCACCATCTGCAGTGATCATGGAGCCCAAGAAAGTAAAATCTCTCACTGCCTCCATTTCTTCCCCTTCTATTTGCCAGGAAGTGATGGGACCAGTGGCCATGATCTTTTTTTTGATGTTGAGCTTCAGACCATATTTTCCACTCTCCTCTTTCACCCTCATTAAAAGGTTCTTTAATTCCTCCTCCCCAACAGTTTATGGTGGTGGTGTGCATTTCTTCAGCTTGGTTTAATAAATTCTCTTCTTTAAATACTGTGGCATGAAATGCTGATGAAGAAAAGGCTTAAACTTAAGGAAGAGACCTTGGATCAGCTGCCCCTTCTTTTATATCTCTTCTCTCTAAGTGATATCATCAATTGGCATAGAATCAATACTTGGTAAGGATATTTCCAAGGGCTACTTCAACGGTTCTTAACTTGTGGTCCATAGACCCCTGTGGGGTCCGCAGATGGGCTTCTGTGAACTGAGCTCAAAAAGGAAAGCAATTTCTGTGTACATGCTCTTGGAAGCTGTGGCAAGCATACATGCACCATAGCTACATATAGCAAAATAACTGCACACAATCATCCTATTACATGATTACGCATGGTTTTAAAAAGAGGAAACATACAACAGAGTCTAATCATGTAGGTCAGATTTCGTATGAAATTTACAAAAAATTAGCGTATTTATAGCAAACTTCTAAAAGGGGAGCGGGGAACTCTACACATTTAGTTGGAGTTTTGGAAATGTAACCTTAAAGGAGTAAGAACATAACAGGATCCTCTGAGACAGTTCTGCTTCTAGGGTTAAAAAATGTGTTTCCATGCTCGTGTAAGGCAGCTTGATCTCTTCATATCAGAAGGTGATAATGGCTCCAGGCCCTAAAAATCTTTACCTGCTGATTTCTGCAGATCAAGCTGCAGTTACAGGCACAAGAGAAGGCTGGGCTGTTTTGTGGTTAGTTGGCAACCCAATGTTCCACAGCTACCAAGGGGAGTCCAGAAGCACCTGGGCATAGGAAAATGAATGGGTGAGGACTTTTTCTTGAAAGTTCAGCACAACACAGCTGAACATGGTTTGCCTTAGCTCATCCATATGTTAAACCAATAAATGAAATGTGGCAAGGATGAAGAGTGTTAAGAATGACTTTGAAAGACGAGTAACATGCTTTTATTGATAATTTCTAGCTCCATGCAAACAAGTTAAGTCACTGGAGCACTTTAAAATGGAGGGGGGGTAGTTAATGATAGCCATTTTGTCCTACTTATTACTGAATAATTCTGCCACTTCAAAAATCTCATATAGAACTTAATGGAGTTTACAGTTCCAGAGAGAAAAACAGGTAATGGGTGGTCTTAAGGGAGGTAAAGGAGAAAAAGCTCCAAGGATAAACACTACTAGCAGATTGCTAAAGGCTAATAAAGCAAGGATAAATTATGGGTGTTTTCATATATCCCTCATATTTGCATGATGAAAATACCCATTTGCAATGGAAAAATTCACCACACATTACCATTCCTGTATGTATGTCCCCACAAGATGTCAAAACCAATTAATAATGGCTCAAAGGGGGAAATTAAAAGTGACATCTCTGAAACAAAATGTTGCTCCAATTTACCATCAGAGCAATCTACAACAGCTGTAGAACAATTAAGGGCTGTTCTTAACCCTTCTAGTGCTATCTAGCCTGCACAATTATTTTTAAAACGAGCTTGAGCATGGCCTCCACAGTATGAAAGTTGGAAGGACTGCAAAAACAAAACACAGAAAAATAAGTTCCAGGAAAGAATCTTGCATTGACGCAGCAGATGCGCCTCATTCACTTAGCCATTTAAGGTAGAGCCGCCAGATTATCTACCTGCTCAACGTCCACATAATAAAACCATTTTGCATTTGTGTTTTCTTTTGTTTGCTGATGTGAGCTAGCAAGACTGGATATAGTGGGTATGTCCTGTAGGATTTTTAAAAAGTGTAGTGGGAAATACTCATGTGACAACATTGCAAGGAAATGTCTTGAAAAATATTAAAAGAATAGCTATTTCCAGGACAAATTAGCATGTGAAAAGGACTTTAGTGTGTGTGTGTTTTTAAATCACATTGTCACACATGTTATTAATCTGATTTATGAGCTGATCACTTTAAAAAGTATGCAAATCATGCCTGATTATGAATGCCTGGCCCAGATGGTGTTCTTTATTCTGGTCAGTAATATTATGGCTTCACACATGCCTTGGCTTTCCCAAATGTTACAATAACAAACAAATAAGCACACAAATAAGAAAGGAAAGGCTAATAATAATACACAATGGATTAAAGCCTAGGGAAAGACTAGTTCCAGAATGTAAGATGCACACACAACAGTGACAAAATTACAGCACAAAATAAGCTGTTTAAAAATGGTTTTAGCTCATCATTGTTTCCCAGAGACTTGTGAGCTGTACTGAGACTTCAGCCTTAAGTGACATGTTGTGAATAGAATCTCAGATGCACACTCAACACAATAACTCTGCTTTGCTCCGATTAAAAGCAGGTGCTGTGTGTGGCAAGCTGCGGATGGCATCAAGCTAATGCTACCTCTGGTTCATGCCAGGAACATATCAGCTTGGGGTGATGGCAGAGGGGCACTTAGTTGAGCATACAATGGAAACACAGATCCCATTGGTTATGCCAGGGAAAGCTACCTTTCTAAAGGAATTGCCTAAGAGCCACTGTCCGAGAAAATAAACTGTTAAAGCTGTCAAGGCTTGAATGAGCTGAACGAGCACAGACTCCAGCTCCCTTCTCAGGAGATGTCCACACTTCCATTCGCCCTGGTGCTTCCCGCAGGGAAACGGTGTGCTGCTGAATTGGAGCCAACGGCAATTAGATTTTTCCACAGATTGCTGTTTGTTCCAGTTCAGTGGCAAAGAGCCTGTTTTCCCAGGAAAGTTGCAGGGCAAACACAAAACCTCTTGGATTCGTGCTTTATAGGTACGGGGCAAGCTGAACTGTGGCTGAGCCTACACTCCAGACAGAACCCCTGACTCAGTCAAAAGGGTCTGACAATCCAACGTTCCACTGCTCTCGGAATGCCTACTAAATAATTCCTCCCAGCTTGATCTTTTTTATTCCAATGACCCATATAAAAAGTGGCGTTTAATGCCAACTGACATAATGGGAAACCTCACAGGGTGCGTAGTCACCTCTTTAGTAACAACACAAGTCTAGTAGTTTCTTGGCAGAATGCCACCTGAAGAACCTCTATACATTGTATGTGCCAGGCCTCAATTAGAAGTACAGTCATACCTCGGGTTAAATATGTTTCAGGTTGAGCGTTTCCAGGTTACGCTCCGCGACGACCCGGAAGTAATGGAACGCGTTACTTCCGGGTTTCACCGCTCGCACAGACACTCAAAATGACATCACGTGCATGCGCAGAAGTGGCGAATCATGACCTGCGCAGTCGCATTCTACTCAGGATGTGAACTGGGCTCCGGAATAGATCCCATTCGCATGCAGAGGTACCACTGTCCTGGTAAATAGTCAGTCTCCTCATACTGACAAACCAAATGGTTTTATAACAGAACATTTAGGGTTTGTCCACACTTGTCCCGTGCCTATAAAGCACAACGCGGGTGGCACTGTGGTCGAAACCACTGAGCCTCTTGGGCTTGCCGATCAGAAGGTTGGCAGTTTGAATCCCCGCAATGGAGTGAGCTCTTGTTGCTCTGTCCCAGCTCCTGTCAACCTAGCAGTTCGAAAGCATACCAGTGCAAGTAGATAAATAGGTACTGCTGTGGCAGGAAGGTAAACGGTGTTTCCATGCGTTATGATTTCTGTCACGTTGTTCCGTTGTGCCAGAAGTGGTTTAGTCATGCTGGCCACATGACTGGGAAAGCTGTCTGTGGACAAACACCAGCTCCTTCGGCTTGAAAGCAAGATGAGCGCCACAACCCCAGAGTCGCCTTTGACTGGACTTAACTGTCCAGGGTTACCTTTACCTTTTTTATAAAGCACGAGTCTGAGCGGTTTTCCACTTGTCCTAGGCACAGGTCCATGTGGTTTTGCGTTTGCCCCGCAGCTTTTCCCTAGAAAACATGGTCTTTACTGCTGAATCAGAACAAATGACAATCCACAGGGAACCCAACTGCCACCATTTGGTCCAATTCAGCAATTAACCATAGGTTTTCCCAGGAGAAGGCAGTGGGACAGATGGGAGGTGTGGACGAGCCCTTATATATGTAACTTTAATTGTACAGTGGCAGTTTCTCCACAGTTAATGACAAGGGAACCCCAGAATACAGTTTTCTGAAAAGGCCCACAAGTCTTTTTATAAGAGAACCTGTTCAGACTCATATGCTCTGGCATTTCCCCCCCAAAGTTCTCTCAGCACTGCTTCATTATGTGGCGGTTACTCTCTCAGGAGACTATTGAGTGTACTATACAATAAATCAGATCAAATTAAGTGACACAAACATTCTTTTACCTTTTTAAATAGCCGGATGACATCCTCACTGATCTGGGAGAGTCTGACAATGACATTGTTCATGAAGATGTCATTCAGGGTAGCATGGTCTCTGCTTTCTCTCCGAGTTTGGGTCAGTACCAGATACCAGCAGTTCACAGGAGAAAGAAGGTGCTGATCCTTCCTATAAGCATACAAATTGATGGTTTAAAAAACATTAGCTCACACATGAGGGCAGTCTTCTTGCTATGAGTAATAATGAGTTCCACTGACTAAAAGTTGCTACCAAAAAGGTTGAGCAGGCAAAGAAAGCCTGAATTAACTTTCTATAAAAAGTTATGCACTTACAGCAGTTCACTGTAAGAATCTAGAGCCAATATGATGATACAGTTCACAGCTAATTAAAAATTTTGTAAATAAAAAAGAACAAATTCATGAATTAGGAGTGGACAATAGTTATGCCCTTTTTATACTAACAGCCCAATCATATACCACTGAAACTATGTCCTGTTTTATTCAATGTAGCTCACTTTCAAAATCTGTGCATTAGCAAATGGTATAGCATAATAAAGTGTTCGCTTTATGATAGCAAGCAAGGTAAAAAGGAAACCATTTCCACTATGAAGTCTAATAACATACTCCAAACAAATTTGAAAATGCTCTTTTTCAAAATACACTTCATTCCAGCATTAACATTTTCAGAATAAAAACAAAATTCCATGAACACAGGTATATATTTAACTTCAGTTCCCAAATAAAATTCAATGTTTTTTAAGCCAAGTTGATAGGTATACCCCAGTATATAATTTAAATGCAATTCAAACCAACAAAGCAATACCCATCGAAGAAACAGATACTGTACATGTTCAGCTGGGTACAGTTAAAGGTCAAGAGAGAACCAAGTTAGTTTCGCTTTTTTGACCAGACAATTCCTATTCCCACAAGTCTCTGACTATAAATCACAACCATAAACTGATTTGCCACACACAGGAAAACAATCAGCTCCATACACACCTTTTGTTTATATACTGCCAAAAGACTTTGCCTTAAAAAGGCTAATAAAATTTCCATAAACACCATAGATAAAAACAGTAAATACAATGAAGACAAACAAGCCAAAAAAGAAAAGCAGATAAAACAATAATAATCAAAAAAAGGCCCTCAAATGTCATAAAAGGGCCGATATAGTAGGATATTGTCTGGTGCCTTTATGATAGCAATGAAGGCACCAAGAAAACTTGGCAAAGGAAGGAGATTCCTCCATTTGTGTGCCACCACTGAGAGGGCCCTTTCTCCAGGAGCCACTGAATGTAGAGGCACCCAGAGGTGGACTTGATAAGAAGTGAATTGATAGTGAGATTCAAAGCAGGAGGTGGTGTAAGGGCATTTAGGAGTTGAAAGGGTAAACACCAGCCCCTTGAAGTGAACCTAAAAATAAACCAAGAGAACTATACTCCCAACAGCAAAGTGCTCTGTTAAAAACACACACAAATAAAACCCCATTGTTTATGTATTAAAAATCTGTCCAGTAACATACATAGGATTCTATTTTTATTATCACATATCCCCTGTAAAGTAGACTGACATTGAAAAATAGCCATCTAAGTCAGGCTTCAGATCTGACAAGGGTATTATTTGACAAAATTAACAACTGCTCTTGCACTTTTCTCTTTTCTTCTTTTTTTTTTGCAATTTAATATTGCAAAATTATTTTAATTCTACTGTATGTTCCGCTCCACCCCCGCCCCTGCAAAAAAGGCAGCCTTGGAATTTGAGCTCCTTGGTCCAAATGCCTATCCAATACACACCCGGTTCAGCTTCCTTTTCCCAGCTTTAGAAGCCAAACAAGAGGCTGGATGCCAAATCACCCTGAACCACTGTCTTGTTGAGGAAAGAAAATTACAATGAACGATATTAGACCAATTCTTTGCCATTAAGCAATCTCAACAAGTCCCTAGAGAGCAGTCAAGACCCACAACGAACATCTCATCAAGTCAAGAATATTATGTGCCGACAAAGCAATGCAGCAAGACTTAGAAACTATGCAGTAGGGAACAATTCTGCATTAGTGGGGAGAAGGACTAGGTGACTTATTAGGGTTTTTCCATCTCCCAGGCCAGCTATCCTGACAAACCATTTAGAGGCCTCCTTTTGTTATAGACATTGTTGGCTGTACTGCCAGTCATAGTTTTGAGTCAGAGAATATTGCAGCTTGCTTCCATTCATGTAAACTGCAATAGTGCACAAGGGCTACAAATTAGAGATTGGAGACCCAGTGGAAGATTGGGCCATGAGCCAGCTTTTATTGTATCCATTTATACAAGAAGGCAAGTCCAAATTCTAGATGAATACAAGCCAAATACAACTAACCAGACATGCATGGAAGTCCACTAATAGCTCAATAAGCCACTTGTTTTTGCTGCCTACCTACACCCAGGACAGCAAAAATGGAGACGTTTTCAAACACCTGGCTGGACCAATGTTGTGATTAGGACTGGCACTATTGCAAACCATGTGCCACGAGTTGCACAGCCCTGCTCAAGTCCAAGGACATCAAGAAATATGCATGTTCCATTCTGCGGTATTATAACATGCCAAGGAAACAGAGGAAATGGAGTTGTTTTTTAGTTTATACTTATGTTGCAACACACTTCACTTGTAGCCACTGGCCAGAAAAATACTGGGCTGCAGTAAACATACACCACTTTCTTCTCCCTGTAGCAGTTTGCATGATTAACATTGGCCACACTGTTCATTCTATGCTGCCAGCAGTTTCTTCTTTTCCCTTCCTAGCATCACTGTCAAGAAGCAGAGGCTGAAGTTACAGCCCTGCATTCCTATACGTTGTGTGTCTTGCAAAGTGTTAACTAAAGCTTGGCAACGCAGCTCAGCTGCTTGCTTCTCAACAAGCAAAAAATGCAAATCCATCTCAGCATCCCTGATGTAGCAGAAACATTTTTACACGTTTCAGTGATGTTCATTATCAACACAATGAACACCAAGAAGCGAAGGGATGACAAATGCTAGGAATATGTAGCACCACACTGTTCTGATCTGTCTCTCCCCATCTTATTAGCCGGAAAACATTCCATTTCTCAAGAGGATTTCTAACTAACGAGGAGACACTGATAATCATCTGGATTCCTTCTACACAGATACACATACACACCCGGTGTTGTGCATGAGCTTGGCAAAAAGATCCGTTCAAAGAAGCCGTGTCCAAACTGAATATTTGAACCTTATGGCTTCATGCGGCTTTAAACAAAGCCATCATGATTAATGAATTTTTAATGGTTCCGAGGAAAACTGCCATGTTTTCAGGAGCATTTTTCCAGTGCACAGGCTGGTAATGTTTGCAAAATGCAAAACATTGCAAATACTAACGAAACCTCATACATAGGAGGATCTCAAAGCACTTATTATTCATTTTCAAAACAACTCTCAATGTGCGACCGCCAACCATTAATTGGCTTATTATATTTTCCTATGTTCGCAAGTTGAAAAAGTGGAATGAAAAACCATGGAATAAGCAGTGTTCATGACCTTTAGAAGAACTAACTGAAGGACAATAGAGATGAAGGGTTAACACACACAGACACAGACACATGCAAGAGTAGAGGATGGCCCAGGGAAGCTGGACCAAGGATAAATGGTGCTCTGAGGTCAAAAAAAAAGAATAGCCATGCATGATCTAGATAAAGACCATTCAAGCAGTGACCCAATCTTTCTATGACATCTGTGTCACTAAAATATACCTACAAGCAACAGGGGAAATTTATTGATTGTAATTATGCTTCAGCATAAGTCTCCCCCCCCCTTCTTTTCCGCAGCAACACATGTGGATATTTAATTAGTGCCTTTAACTTCTAGCTGTCCTTACAGTTCGCAAAGGGTGTGCTTTCCAGGCAATAGGCACCAATGAAACTCACTAAAAATAATCAAGTGGCGTACATGACCATGGAGGAGGAATCCTCAGTTAACTATAGGACTGGAAGCAAACATTTTCATGGCTATCACAGCTTAGGTAACCCTCCCACATGGAAAAGAAGAGCAAGGAAGTACACTATGATATGATTTCAGCTCAAAGGCGTTTACAGAAAGCACCATTTCCAGACACAAACAGAGGATTGCTTCCATTCCTAGCCAGCTCATCAAACATTTTGGCCTGAACAGAACAGAAGTTCTCAGCTACGCTGACACCAACAGAAATGCTGCTTTTTAAGCTCTCCACAGCCTATAACAGAACAGCCAATGACTACACAAAGTGAGCCCCGATGAACCAGAAGTGCACCAGTTGTTTATTGCCTCTTCCTTCAAGGCATCGCTACTAAACTTTGCATAGGTCATTTGCCAACAGAAGAGTTTGACAATCCAGCTGTTCTGCATGCTCAACAATCTCAGGAACAATAGAAGATACCCAAGAGTGAAGGTCCAAAATGTGAGGAGTCAGCTATTATCTGTGTACAGAAACAGGTGGATCAAGGCTGCCCGCCAAAGGTTTTGCAAGGTAATCCAGCAAAAGCGAAAAGGGCAGGGGAAAATAGTAGGCCGGGTGGTGCTGAAGATTATTAATGTATAAAGCAAATAAATGGTTCAGTTTTGTTAAGCTCATTTTCCATTTTCCCTTTGAAACCATAATGTTCAATAATATATTACTGCTGTTTAAAATTGATGAACCACTTTATAAGCCTCAGCAGCTTCTTCACTTCCAATCTACTATCTTAGAGGCCTCCAAAAAGTGAGGAGGGGGAGTCTCATGACCTTATTAAGGCGTTCCTAGACACATGAAAACACCTTTCAGCTCAATGAGCAGCAGCCAGCCATCACAGCAGATACAAAGTATAACAGAGCTACCTGTGGCCTCACCAGCATCCCAAAAAGACTGAAGCATTCAAAAGCAGATAATATTCGCTGAACTACAAAATTAAGCCCACAAGATGTTGAACTATCAGGGCAAGTACAACATTGATACATGCTTCTTATGGCTGTGCCTGTTTGAAACAAGCTGATAGAAAACAGATGTGGAAACAATTATTACCCTCTAGACACAGTAAGACATCTTCAAATATTTGAAGGTCTCTCACATAGAAGGAGCAAATTTGTTTCCTGTTGCTCCAGAAATGGATCCAAACCACCAAATAAGTTAAAATTGTAAGGAAGGGGATTTAGACTAAATATCAGGAA